GCGCATAGGACCGGGCCTCTCCATCCGTCCACCTTCGGAGCGATTAACGCAAGCCAGGTGGCCGTCTTTTCGTCCTTGCGGTCGACTAGCAGCATTCCTGACCTGAAGTGGAGGAATGAGCCGGTGTACCCACACCCATTATATACCTCATCCATGATGCTATCTTGCAGCGCTGTCAGTTCTTCTGGCCCCAAGACCTCCGCCGGGTAATTGGGGACAGCACCGCCATCCGGATGTTTTTAAGAGGTTCCTAGTATTTACGCTGACTGTCAACACCCGGGTTGGGTTTTGGAGCAGAACGTTGTCCTCCGATCGCCGGTGGCTGATTCCCCTTTTGCCTCTTTGAACTTGTGGGTTCTTCAGGCGTAATCTGCCCGCTCTTCCTTTTCGCGGTTTGTTTTGTGACATTCAGTGGTTTCGCCCTTCCGCTCCCTCGCTTCCCAGGCGGGGTTGCGTTATCTCGGCGTTTGCTCCTGCATGTTTCTTCGCGGCCGGAGACGGGTTGCTGCCCCTGCTCCTGCTTGAGGAGAGCCTCAATGTTTCCTCCGGGGACTTGCCATCTTGCAAGTGCCTGAGGTACCACTTTAAGGTGGCACTGCTCATGCCTCTCCTGCGTGGATCGTCTGGGCCACCCGGGCATTCCGCTACTGGTTCTGGGGGTATTGCAGTCTGATGTTGCTGTCGTTTTTGGTGGTTGCTGTTGTTGTCGTCGTTGTTTGAGTTTGAAATATTTGTGTTGGTTGTGTTCATTCTGTTTCTTACGAGCCTTGGCTGAAAAGGGTGAGCTTCCGGGTCTATTCTGTTTAAGGGGGAACGTGAAGGTCCGCCACGCCAGAACTCCTTGACGCGGTAAGGCCACAGTTACTTCTTAAGGCGGGCTGGTATTGGGCAGGCTCCGCTATAATACAGCCGAGTTTACCTCCTGGCTGCAAATCATCCAATGGGCACGGGAATCGCATGACACACTGGGGGGTACCCTGTATTAGGGGTGCTTTACGGAACTCTTCACACCTGTTGAGAGGGACAGGAAGTCGTTACGATTAAGCGCCTGCACCACGTCAAGGTGCCTGCCGTTCGCAGGAGATTCGATGAGTAAGCCCCAGCGTTCGCTAGGGGCCCTGTGAGAAGCGTGTGACTTTGGAGCGCTACGGTGGCAAGCAGGCTGATCAGGAATCTAAACAGCATGCTAGCACACTTGAGGGGGCCAATAGGATGTTAAGCGGCGCGAACGTCGAAAAGTCGGGGCCTTAACGAGCCTCAATCTTCGATTAAGCGGCAGAGGTCGCAAGGGGAAAATTCCCCGAAAACAAAGAGCCTCGGGTCAGTGCGGCACTGATGTTTACTAAAATAGCTAAGCATGCCAGCTCAGTAGAGCTTGGCGTGTACGACCGCAGCAAAGGAGATGAAGCCATCTCCCATGAGGAATAAAAGAAACAAGCGACTGCTCTTTTCGCTGTTTTCATGAAGGTGGTTAGGGAAAACAACCGGACCATCGCCTCGGTGTGCACAAGCTAGTAAGGTGTGCCGACGAACGTGTTCATGTCTGGCTGCTTGCCGAACCCTCCACCTCGATTGAAATTGAAGAGATTTTACGTTATCACAATCCATCTCTTCCCACCCAAGACTGGAGGGGGTTTAGACTGGAGAGGACCGAGGAGCCATATCGGCAAGCGCTGATACTCCTAATTATATGCCGCATGACGAAGAGGTTGAGTCACCTCCGGTCCTGCTGAAGACAGCTTTAACAGAGGCCAAACGAAGAAGAGTCGGTGTTATAAAAGGCTTGGATGCCAATTCCAGGCACACCGTCTGGGGAAGCTCGGACTCGAATGCAAGAGGTCAGTCACTTTTAGATTTGAATTGCTCCCTTGATCTCGGAATGGAGAGTTCTAGACGACCATTCTTCTCTGATCACAAATGCATTGGACAAATACCAATTGAGACCTGTATTGCAGGAAGCTCTTCCAACCATGCCCAACATAGATGAGCTGGTGAAGGTTTTTCAGCTCCGTGAGTAGGACTACTCGTGAAAGCTCCTAACCTCAGAAAACTAAGAAAGATAAAAGGAAACCCTTTATCCACCCCTTTGGTGGAGATCGGTGCTAACGGAGGTCAGATCTTGGAGCAGAAGACCCTTCAACAAAGCCCGTAGAAGTGAATCTAGTGACATTTGGGGGCTGTATAAGGCAGGACTGGCTATATACAAGTCCGAGTATAGGAAAGCCAAGAGAGCCTCGTGGAGACCATTTTGCGGAAGTGTAGAGGGCTGTCATGAGAGGGTATCTGAGAAATGCGGACACCGGTTGAACCGTGGTTAGCGAGGAGTCATTGAAGCTACTCCTGGATGCTCATTTTCCGTTGAACCGCTGATGGGGTAGGGGAGCTTAGTGGGGCTGTACAGCCTTCTTGGACATTTTGCAAGAATGCCATCTTACCTGGGCGCTGATTATGATGATGACATTATACCGACTCAACTGTAGCGTACGGTCAAGGTGTCATGCAGCTGGCTGGCCGCCATCTACAAAGACAACCGAAAAGGTTAATAGGGGCACCCCGCTGTGTGGAGTACTTTCCCCATTGCTTCGGATCTTGGTGGTTAATGACTTACTTGCAGCTTGCGCTGCCGATGTAGTTCTAATGATTAAAGCAAAATTTAATAACACCGTCTACGAGCTAACCAAAGGGTACCTCAACGTGGTATCTAGCTGAACGCGTAGAAGCGGATTTACCCTTAACCTAAGTAAAACTAAAATAGTTTTATTTACTATGAGGTATAAAATCCCAAACTGCCTTTCACCTGCTTCGGAGGGTCGCGTCTTCAACCTGTTGATAAGGTGAAATACCTTATCCTTCATGATCGGTTGCCTTATATCGCTGTAAAGGAGCTATGGGGAAAAGGTGGAGACTTTCACCAAAAGAAGTGTTTTGGCTCTACGAAACCGTAGTCAAAACAATAATGTTCTATTTGAAAAGGTTGAACGTGTTCAAAAGCGGCTTCTCCGGTGCAATACGGACTATACCAACAATAGCACTTAATATTATTTTAAACATAGCACCCGTGAACATTGCCGGCAGGTTTATTGCTGCAAAGTGGGCTCTAAGGCTCAAGGAAGATGGGTATATGAAGGAGTCCGAACAAGGACACCTCCTCTCCTCCTCCCACTACATGCTTGAAAAGTTGAATCACTACGTCGAAGAGGCCACTCGTGGCGACTTATTCTCTGCTCCCATACCTACAAGAGATTTGGAAGAGGCGCAGAGCTCTCCGTCAATCTAAGCTTTAGGCTACCGGACAACTGTAGTGTTTTTAAAACAGAAGTGGCTGCTATCAAGGTGGCGGTACTGCTAAGAAGTGCATGCTCTTTCAGGAAGGTGAGTATTCACTTCGACAGCAAAGGGGCAATACTAGAGCTGAGCTCGCTAACTGTGTGCTCAACGCCGGTCAAGGAGTGTCTGACCTCACTAAAAATAATATCAAGCTACAACATCATCAGACTCGTTTGGGTGCCTGGTCACAGCGGAATCACTGACAACTCCAAAGCCGATGAGCTAGCAAGAGGGGGCACCCTTTCCCTGCTCATATCGGGGTCGACGACCAGCTCCTTTGCGACTGCGAGATTCTTCTGACCTAGAGTCGAGCGTATGAGATCTACCGAACCACTTGCCCTGAGCAAAGCTCATCTTGCCGCAATTGTAAGGTCACAAGATTTATGTATGTTGTAATGAGACGGGCCAATTTATGTAATTAAAGAAATTATTTTAAAGAATTCGCTAATATTAAATTGTTATCTGACTTAATTTTTATACTCTCGCAACCTGTTGCTACAGAGTATAATAGTTTTGTTCACCTAACGGTTGTTTGTATCACCTAAAACTAATCGAGTTAGATATAGGGTTATATATATATAAATGATCAGGATGAAGTGACGAGTTGAAATCCGGGTGACTGTCTGTCCGTCCGTCCGTCCGTGCAAGCTCTAACTTGAGTAAAAATTGAGATATCTTTATGAAACTTGGTAGACATGTTTCTTGGTACCGTGAGACGGTTGGTATTGCAGATGGGCGTAATCGGACCACTGCCACGCCCACAAAACGCCATTAATCAAAAACAAATAACTTGCCATAACTAAGCACCGCAATAAGATACAAGACTGTTATTTGGTACACAGGATCACATTAGAAAGGGGCATCTGCAGTTAAAACTTTTTTTTAAAAAGTGGGCGTGGTCCCGCCTCTAATAGGTACTGTTTAAGCCCCTAAGTACTAAATATGTGGACCCCATTGCCTATAGTTGACCTTCTACCGAAAATATCAGTCAATCCACAAAGAAATATCAAACGAGTATACTATTTGACTTTGCGAGAGTATAAAATGTTCGGTTACATCCGAAATTAGCCCTTCCTTACTTGTTATTATTACTTTTTTTTTATCTTAAAAACTCAAATCTTAGTATAGGCGGTTCTATTCCCGTTGTCGTCGTCTCGTTTCGTATTCGTAACGCCTATAAAAAGTTATCGAAATCTGTAATTAAAAATAAGAAAGTATGATAACGCCCAACAGCGCCATTGTATATGACGTTGTTATTTGTTGTTTTGAGGACTCCTCCTGCGGCTCTAACTTTGGATTTGTTGTGTACCATCCATTAAACTCCTTTATATGTATATATAAAAATGCAACTCTACAATTTTTTTTTTAATTATGCCCACTGTCTCCATTGCGACATTAAGTTTTTCGAAATATCACTTCAAAAAATATCGCAAATAAATGGTATTAATCCCTATCTAAAATCTTTGGCAAACGTATGATTTTTTCCTGTAATTATTCATACTCATATTGTTATATTGACTTCAAATAATCGCGATCGTTTCTTTATCGCTTTTAATTACTACAACGATAAGAAACGACTGTTACTATTTCATTATCATAGTTGTTTTAGAATGGGGATACTAATTTATTTTCGATAAATGTCGATAACGCAAACAGAAATGCCACATAGCAGTTCTTAGTTCGATTCAAAACGAAAAGGACAATAGGTATTGGGCCGAATACAATATGGTATAAAGAATTTACAGCAAAACATCCGGAAGGACAATATTATGTAAGCTCTGTTTGCCAACGAAAAGCTTAATATTGTTTACATCCAGGCGATCAATTAATTCTTTGCAAAATGTAAAACAACGTAATAATTTAGGTTAAGGAAATTGTTCTTAATTCACACTCTAGGTAAAATTGTTTTTAAATATATTGAAGGAAATAAATATATCTGTAATTAAAACTTAAACTTAAACTGGGAAGGTCTAAATTCTAAAATGTAACCAAAGATTTTATTTTAATATCACACATATTGACATAACTATAGAGTTTAAACTCTGTATCTTTGTTGTAAAATTACTTTTCAACTTATCCGTTATACGGAGGTAGATCGAGATCATCACCTGAATTCACCCAGTTTCACATTGAAACGGAGGTGCTAGAGATTAAAAGAGATAACAATTTTTGTGTTATTTTCCTACGAAAAAAAATTTTGTGAACTACTGAATATTTGTTTAAATCTTAATTTTAATAGTATAACTTTTTAACAGATAATTTTAACGACAGCGGAAAAGAAATACCCGCAGCAATGGAACTACCACCTCTGGGACTTTATACATTCAATGTTACTTCGCCCACTGAGTGGAAACTATTTCCTTGGAGAGAAACGGCCTCTACGATATTAAATGAAATGAAAATATTTAATGAGATTTTTAAAATAAGTGTTTCTGTTGAGAATTGCTTGCAACCAAAATGGTTATACAATGATTTGGAAACCACGGTACGTACATATGAACACATGCTATTTTTCAATTATGATTTGTGTATGAACTACTACTCAACACGTAACACGTGTCTTTTAAAAATAATTGGCAGCATTGCCAAAATATGCAAAGGCCCATTCACATACAACTTTCCTCGATTTGGGTGACAGGTCATACTAAAGCCAAGGATGAAATGATGCGAGACTCTTTGAATCGAGAGAGAGCTGTCAAAACCCACATTTTTTATAACATTTGCCAATCATGCCACTGTCGAAAGAAAATGGATTGGGTATTATAAGAAAAACTTTTGGGTATTTTGTATTTCAATATTATATTTAGTCCCCGAGTAGGCCTTTATAACGCATATACATCCCTATACACGTGTATTTATATTATAAAATTTTTTAAAAATCATATGACATAAAAAAAATTGCATATAAAAAAAAAATTATAACAAAGAAACAAAACCAGTCATAATAAAAGATCATGGTTTTATAATGAACGTTTTAAATTAAATTAACAAATAAAATTTAGTTGCACGTTATTCAAATGTATATGTGTCGTTCCTTGAAATTTCGTTTCGCACTGCTTTTGTTAGCTACTTTTAGCTGGTTTATTTCTGGCATTCCGCCTTTTTTGACATCAGCTGTTCGAAATTCCCTGATTTTAATAATCAGGGAAAGAGAATAACAGAAAAATCAGCGAATATGAGAGAGTCTCGTATCATGTCATCCTTGCTAAAACAACGAAGCGCAGAAAACAAAAGGTATAAAAATATAAAAGAATACAATTTAGTTATTAGTTCCGAAAAGGTTAATATAATATGAATATGAATTTAGTTGTTCAGACGATTTAAATATTATAGAACACCGTATTTGTGTACCGTGGACTTAAACCCAAATAACACAAGAAGAGCAAATCCCTTCAAAATTATAATTTTATTAAAAAACTGAAAAACACGATTTTTCTGTATAGCAGTTGTTTGTTTTTTATCGTCACTGAAAAGTTGAAGTACGATAATACTCATGCTCAGGGATGAGCACGACTACAATCAACTGACTCTCTTAAATTGACATTGTGTTGGTGCGTTAACTGTGTAACAAAGCAAATAAACGATCAAAAATCATCAATCTGTTTTCAGAAATCGAATAAGCGGATCTATTATTATTATTCCAGGTTTAGTGGCAATTTGATTATGGTTGGACAATTTTGTATTTAAAAACAGGCACTATATGATATTTTATCGCGTAAGAATTATAAAAATTTCATACATAGAATGTGCACCTCCGTCCGCACCAACTTATTCAGTCAACTGCTGATTGCAGACTGATTTCACTGTCGCTTTGCAGTGTTGCTACTTAAAAAAATTTTTGGGTACCAAAATGCCTACCAAATCTGTTGCAAAACTACCAAATTTTCTTATCAGCAAAACATTGGGTTTTCAGATCACATTTGGGAGATATGTACATAAAAATAAACCTTAGTGATCTATAAAACTTAGCAACATGGACAGTTTTCCTTTCCCGTGGACATTGACGGCAGGTGTATTGCTGAGGTGATACGCCGAAATACTTCAACTGTTTTTCTGAAAACTTGGATCACTGCGTCGCAAAGGCTACTCGTGGAAGCTTTTCGATGCTCACATACCGGCTAGTGATATGCGGATAGGTAGGAGTCGCTGGAGAAGAGCAGTGAGTTTTTCACGGATGCGTTGAAGCTAGAAGGGAATGTAGGAGGGGGAGTTTTCTGAGCTCTCCGTCAATATTAGAGGTAGGATACCTGACCACTGTATTGTTTTCAGGCAGAAGCGGCTGCTATTAAGGTGGCGGTAGCCGTACTACTTCAAAGTGCAGCCACTTTCAGGGAGGTGAACATTTACTCCGACAGAACGGCAATACTTGAGCTGAGCTCACTAACTGTGCGCTCAACGCCGGTCAAGGAGTGTCTGTCCTCACTATCAATAGTATCAAGCTACTTCATCAGACTCGTTTGGGTGCCTGGTCACAGCGCAACTGCAAAGCCGATGAGCTAGCTAGAGGGGGCACCCTTGCCCCGCTCACATCGGACTGAGTTGAATTTCCATTGGCGGCTTGCTTTCTAGCACTTAACAGTAACCTCGCAGCATACGCTGGCAACAGCGACTAACTCCTGTCCGTTTACACGACAGTCGGGTCTATGTAATCGGAACGGACCCGGATTTTATCCGGTCAAGGACTGTCAACTCGGCAGAATTCTGCCGCTACAAGAACAACAACAACAACTAACTCCTGTGCAACTGCGAGATTCTTTTGGCCTAGAGTAGAGCACAGGAGATTTACTAATCTACTGGCTCTTCTGCCGCAATCATATGGGTTCTTACAGGACAAATGTCCAATAGGCATTCATGCGGTACTTTCTCCTATATTGTCCAGCCTTTGCAAGACTGAGATTGAACATCTCGGCAGTCTTACCTTCGGCGAACCAAAAGACTTTGCCGAAACTGACATTAGCCGTCTCAACAAATTTGCGATAGACTCAAAGCACTTTAAGGCTTTGTGAGGGTTTTATGATCTATTAAATTGGAGTTTTAGGTAACATATCGGACCGGCGTTCTGAGCTGTCCAAGTGAGATCCCTGTTAGGGTCGACCTGGTAATCTAAGCCAACCTAAGCCCTTAATTTTCTTAAAGCCAATCGAATATTTTTAACTAGTCCCTATGAAATTTTCGCTTTGAAGGTCAATCGAGCATTAATCACAACAAATTCAAGTTGTTGTCGCAAAAGTTTAAGTTTTCGTTTACCTTACGTCGATATAACTTTGTTAGCTTACTGCGGAGGTTTTAGGTACTTGATTGTCATACATAAAAACAAGTTGAAAAATATAATACAAGCAAATATTTAAAGTAAAACTAAAGTATTTATTCGCCCATTGCCTGAATTTGACATTTTTTGTGTAACATAATATAAAAAGAGTGGGTAAATCCCAAATGGCTACCGTATACTTAGTTGCCACAACGATTTATAAACGTTAACGATGTATGAAAGATCTGAAAATAGCTTTCAAGGGTTTATACATACATATGTATGGTAAGTGTTCTTCTACTCCTTACATTTTAAATGAATATTCAATCAATATTATATTATTATTATCTCATTATGTTCACTTAATAAAAAACGAATTAGACTTTCAAATTTTGAAAATGATCGTTCCATGGCGTTTGCAAGTTGTATCCTTTTGTATGGTACATTGTTAATAGGTCATCAATGTTCCCGCTGTAGAAATTGGTCTAAGATCCTATAGGCTTTGAGATGGCTTGTTAACTAAAATGGAATTCATTGTATAGATAAATCAAAACCTTGTTTAATTTGATTTGTTAAAAAATACATTTTTTAAACTCTTTTTTATCTTATAGAAATCTTTTAATTTATATGAAATGTGCAAAAATCTGGATACCACATGCAATAATTTGTTTGAAATTTTATTGGAGAACAAATATGTATTAGCTGAATTGCAGCGTTTTTCATTATTGCTGGAAGAATCTGTCAAAAATCGTGTTCGTCGCACTCCTCCACGGTGCATCTATTGTTTAAATAAGCACGACATTTGCAATCATGCTAAGATTGCTATTCTATTTTCTGGTGGAATTGACTGCTCAATTTTAGCAGCGTTATCGAACAAATATGTTGATAATTATGATTCAATCGATCTCATAAATGTGGCGTTTGAAAGACTAAGCCCAAGTCCAGAAACAATTTGGGATGTACCTGATAGATTATCTGCCAAAAAATCTTTTGCAGAGTTAAAAAATGTATATCCCCAAAGGTAAACCGTTATTATTATAAATTATACATCTTTATTGAGATATCCCTATTTTTTTTTAGAAATTGGAACTTTGTCGAAGTTAATATATCGCGACAAGAACTTTATGATAATTTGCAGAAGCATATTAAACATCTTATATATCCTTTAAAAACTGTTTTGGATGAAAGTATTGGATCTGCGTTTTGGTTTGCTTCCCGTGGCAAAGGAATATGCTTAGGAAAGGAATATTTATCACCAGCAAGGGTAAATAAATTTAAAAATGTCACAAACCATTAAAAGAATATAAGTATTATTACAAATTATTTTGAAACCAATAGAATTGATTATTATTCATTATCAGATTTTTATTGCCAGCATAAAAGCAATGTCTACTACCATTGTTCTCTCGGACATAGTGATCCGATCAAGCGATATCGAGCATGAAATATTGTATATATACCTCGCCCTAATTACATGTTGCCAAACAGTATACCACCCGAATATAGGTGTGCTACTTCGTGTTGAAAACCGTTTGGTACTAGGCGACTTTAACGTCTGATAAATAAAAATATAATAAACAGATCATCGGCTTACAATTATCTCGATCGAAAAACCTCCCGACTTTATTTCTTTGTTAACTTTAACAAAGCTATCTGGGTCAGCTTCACAGAATCCACCGAGAGTACTTTTGCCGCATTACCCGTTCCTACGGATGTAATCGTTGGCGAACGTCAACTCCGTAAGCAGCTGCTATCATAAGCTACATCCCGGCTGGAAGAATCGCGTACCTCCATCCCGATTCCCAAGCTGAAGCAGGTATTCTAGTAAATGAGCGCGACACCTTACACCATGCCGATCCCTGTGATTCCCGAATAAGGGATCTCAGCTTGGAGATTCGTCAAATGGTAAATCAACATAAGGGGACGAAATGGGTAGAGCACTTGAATTATTGTAACCTCTCCACCGGTGTCAGTAAGCTTGGTCTAACCCGAAGAAGCATGACGATCGGGTTGAAATTAAATGTTTATGGTCATGTCACCTCGGATTCGAAGTAGTGCACGAGCTATTTTAGCTGGCAGTTCATACCCTTCAACAAACAAGGCAAAGATATGTTATCCGACGTCTACGCAAACTGCCAAGAGACTTCGAACCACTTACTTTCACCGATGAGGAGATTCAGAGTGTTTTTAACAGGGCTATATCATCCAAACCCATCAGCCTAAATCAAAAACCACCCTGTTGCTGGGCGGCAGCATATGAAGAAAGGAAAAAAAAAACGTTGTTGGCAACATACAAGGCAGTCGGCTGGCCAGTCAAAAACTACGCTGCACCGATATGGTCGCCCGGAAGTAGTGAAACGCAGACGAAGCTTCAGATGTGTCAAAATACAGCACTCTGAATGTTAAATGTTGTTTTTTTTATTGTTTAAGTTATAATATCGTCCTTTATTATAAATAGAATGTCTAAGTGTTCAGTTGTATGTACTTAAACCACTTAAGATACAATAACCAAATTCGTTCAAGCCCCGCCCCCTCTTCACACGTTTACACACAAGATGGTATAAGCGGGCTTTATAGGAGTCGGTGTCAACGTTAAACGATGGACCACCCACATGTAGGTGAAAACCCTGTCTCAGAACCTACTCGACCGATATTGACCAAATTTGGTATGTGATATTACCTTGCCATTCCTATGTACCAGTGCGAAATCGGATTAAAACCACTCCTACTTCCCATATAATACAACTAGTGCATACACAAATAGTGCATTTAAGTTATGTCATCTCAAGTTTAAAAACTGTCTAAATAGGATTAAAGCTATTCAAGCCCCCAGATACTGAACATGTGGACCCCACTGCGTATGGCTGACTTCTTACCGAAAATATCGGCCAATATGTGAGATATATAAATGAAATTCGGAGATAATCCTCTTATCATAACAGTATATCTCTATGGCAAAAATGCTTCAATCGGGTCAGTACTTCCTTTAGCCTCCATATACCTAATAGAAAGATTTTCGAACTTCCGACTGAGATTATACCCCATACACTCGACAGAAAAAGTCTGCAAACACGCTTATGTCTTATGCTATCTCAAAGCCTATATACTAAATTTTAGAATAAAATGACATTAAGTGCTTTATTACTAGTCTATTGCATAATCCCATAGAATTTAAAGCAGTTAAAAACTGATACCATAGCTTTATCTATAAATTTACACAAAATTGTCATTTCGCAACACAGAAAAAGTCTGTGTTCAAGTAGTAAAATGGGAATTCTTCGCTCAAAGATGTATTGAACGAGGAATGGGCTTTCGACAGAAACCTCTGAGCTTGTTTATTCCATGCCAAAACCTCTAGTGGAAGTTTTAAAACGTTGGGAATATCCGACTTTCTGTCAAATTTTAAGAAGAGTTCGGAAGAAGTACTTTGTACGCAGAATTTTTCTGCCTAGTGTATATCGGCCAATTCATCTTAGTAAAAACGAGAGAGCGTGTTTTACTATAAACAGTGCACATTTGTGCATAAAATTTATTAAAATCGGGTGAACACTTGGCCTAGCCCCCATATAACTAATATCACGATTTTCGAATATCCGGCTGGCTTTACTCCATATATATCGGTGATGGTAAGTGTACCATAATGAAACTCAGCTAGCATATTATTAGTAAGTGGCATATTAATAAAAATGCAATATTGTCAGAAATAGATAAAATCGGGTTAATACATCCCTTAGACCCGAATATAAAAATTTCCAACTTCCGGTTGGCCTTATACTATATATACGAATTACACCTACTTCCATTTTTGTAAGAAAACTTTTGTCGCATATGTCGTTCATTGTATTATTTATATAATTACTTGAAAATATGTTCTCAAGTATATCTGAGCAATGTTCAAATTCATGCAATCAGCCCAATTGCCGACTTTCCACCTGACTTTTGCACATCAATACAATATATTAAATTTATCCTCTTCTGTGGAGGATCATTTTAATATAATTTCCGTTGACGCGATTTAAATATATTAAAGAAACTATTCACGATTTCGTCGAATATGAATGTTGAATTTTTGGCAACAATTTTTTAATATAAAGTTTTGCCAACACCTATGAGTATTTCGCTGGCTTTGATCCTTGCAATTTGCAAGAGTATAAAATGTTCGGTTTCCTCTTCTCTCCTCCTCTTGTTCTACCATAGGACTCGTATCAGCCTGCTTTGGAAGTAACTATCGCAATCAGTCGCATTGTACTGATAATAATCATCAAACTTCTAGCTTCTGTACACGGTTTACCTTTGAAAAAGCTAACTTTAGAAGGTTAAACAGGGAATTTTATTAAAGGCCTGATTACATTGGACATATTGAATTGAGTGTCTCGCATTTTAATCAAACTATTGTGCATTTATTTGAAAAGACAGTATTCGACCTAAATAAAAAATTTCATAATTTTTACTTAAATAAGGTAAAAAATAATATTGTACTTAATGTTAAATGGTTTTATGATTTCGTTAACTCCAAACGCAGGATTTCCAAATTTCCGTCCGCGATGAAAAATATATCTGCCATGTCATCTGAAAATAACATTATTTCAAACATGTTTGCAGAATTTTTCAAATCAAACTATTGTACTAATTCTCCTAAAATTTGTTCTTATCAGCACGTGCTCTCTCTGAATACTTCAATTATCGCTCCAATACTTAATTCCTCTTACTTAATATAAGTTGAAACCATCTTTTAATTACGGCCTAGATATGATACCCTCATGCTTCCTCAAAAATAGTGCCAAATATATCTACTTGCCTTTGACAACGATATTAATTCTTCTTTTAAACAAGATATATTTCCGTCAATATGGAAACAGTCATTTGTAATCCCTTTGCATAAAAGTGGGTTTTGGTCATACATTGAAAACTATAGGGCTCCGTGGAAGTTAGCAAATCCATTTTGACAAATTAAGGTCTGTTCAAAAACAATTTTTACATCTTTTCTTAGGTCTTCTAGTACATACACTTACTACTGATAGGAAAATGCTTGACGTTATATTCTTAGTAATAATCCGAAATGGAACAGTTTGGAGTTGTTTTCTTTTGTCTGAAATTAAATTCAATATCCCCGTTCGCTTTCCGAGGTAGGTTGGACCTTTACTGTTAAAATGTTGTATAGCATATAGATGCCATATAAACTGGCCGATCAAAATCAAGATAAAAATCTTTTTATAGCCCTTTATTACAACAAATGCACCTTTGAAGAGTATTATATAATAGCATCGGTGCAGCCGAGGTTATCGATTTTTCTTGTTTTATCATAGTTTGAGATCTGTGATATTGGTTGAACAGTTTAATTTGAGGTTTTGTTAAAATGTCCTCTAGTTAAAATTTAAAATACTTGAATATATTAAACGATTTTTAATTTAAAAGTTGGACATCTGTATCTATACATATGTGTATAATTTATACGCAAATGCTTAACTTCAAGTTAAATATTGATTCATATTTTCAGGTTGTTATAGTTGGAAGTGGTGCGGATGAGCTGTTCGGAGGATATACGCGTCATAGGAATGCGTTTTGGCGCTTTAAAGGTACTGAGACCGAAAAACTTGAAAACCTTCATAACGAATTGGATAAGGATTGGAACCGAATATGGGCTCGTAATTTAGGACGCGATGATAGGGTAGTAGCAGATAATAGTAGAACGTTAAGAGCGCCTTTCATTGAAGAACATCTAGTTCAATACGTTCGCAGTTTCTCACCATCGCAGCTTTGTTGCTTTCTACTGAAAGAAGGAGTAGGTGATAAATTATTTTTACGACTATATGGTTTTCAATTAGGTTTAAGAAATATAGCTTATGAGAAAAAGAGAGCAATTCAATTTGGATCAAAAATAGCTAATAAGAAACAAAATGCAACTGATCGTTCAATTTTCTTGTAATATAATATTATATTATATGTATTGAAAACTGAGAAGAAGAAATTTGATTCCAAGTTTTTCTAATTTAACTTTTACATTTTAACTAATTGTTTGCAAATAAATATTTAAAAGTTGATACAATCGATCACAGGATACAAACCCAGCACCTGACATACCTCATGGAACACCATTATATCGCAACTAAATTATATGAGACAATGTCCACTACTTTATTATACCGAATGACATATTTCTTTGCCGATTCTTTTGCCCAATTCGTTGGAATGGTACACTAGATTTGGAAATGATTTCTCACCTTGATCTTAAGCTAAACTTATTCCCTACAGTTAACAATCCTATTATCATAAGGACTGTCGACAGCCAACCCAACTTCTCTCTCAAAATTTATTAAGACTTTGTGACCCCTAGGTACCATTCCGTACGTAGTTTCAAATCCAATCGTCTTCGGACTGTCGACAGCGAACCCAACTTTTGTAACTCATTTTCTTAGGAGTTGTTGTGGTAGTGAATACCTAGATCTTGTTTAAGGAAAAGCGCTTAATAACTGTCACCGAAGTAATTTAGCGATAGGTTCAGGAAATGGGATGGCCCATTGGACCATAGGGAAAAGAGTGTTAAGTGATTGGGTTTACTTTATAGTCTTTGTTAGCCTAGATGAAGGGAATACAATTGGGGAGTTCTTTTTACCATCGGACCGGAGACCGATTTTACCATCCTGGGTTTCCCATATCCAGTAAACAAAAGTTGATATTAAGTTCAAATTGGGACGAAGTTCGACGCACATTTACTTCTGTATACCTGCGGAATCTTTCTATAATAATAGTATAATGTTGTTGTTGTTGTAACGGTTACCTAGTCCCCGTTCGGGTGATAAATTCCAGATTGGTTGTCGTCGAGGTCATCTAACGGGAGGCACAGGAAACGAGCTGTTTCGACGGGGTCGGACCATAGGGAAAAGGGTGTTAGATGCACGCAGGACATGTGTTTGGTATGTTGGGGTCTATTCTTGATAAGTAGGAGTTTAACCTGCTACAATATCCTGAACGAAGTTGCGCGAGGGTCACTCTGGTTTCGCGAGGCAACTCGAGCTCGTCTGCTATGGGTGGTGGTTTGCCTCGTAATACGCCATTCACTGAGAGGGAGTCGGTGAAGGTGTTGATGGCTCCACTGTGGTCGGCGTATTGTCTAATGTCGACGTAATCAAGGAAAGACCTCTTGATGTTCCTAGGAGGCGGCTCTGCTACAAGCAGACGACTGCAGGGGTGGTTTCTACGAAAACATCCCAGCAGAAACTGCTTGGAGAGGAGCTCATTATGTTCCTTAATCGGAAGCATAAGGGCCTCACTATGTAGGTGTTCAATTGGGGACATCAAGAGGCATCCCGTGATAGTCCGAAGTTCAGTGTTTTGACAAGTCTGAAGCTTCCTCGTCTGCGTTGCACTACATCCAGGCGACCAAATTGGTGATGCGTAGTTTAGGACCGGCCGGCCGATTGCCTTGTAAGTTGACAACAACGTTTCTTTGTCTTTTCCCCAAGAGCTGCCGGCAAGCGACTTGAGGATTTTGTTCCGGCTCTGTACTTTGGCAGTTATCACGGTCGTGTGAGGAGTAAAGGAGCACAGACTGTCCAATGTGACGCCTAAAATTTTAGGGTTATTTACTGTCGGAATTTTTGTGCCATCGACTGAAATGTTCAGGTCCAGTCTGTACTCCTTCGTCCAATTTGTAAAGATGCTCCTTGCAGAGAAGAAGCGAGAAAGATCGGAGAGGTAGCTGTTTACTTTTGAGCACATGCCATCGATTCCATTGCCCGGTGTCAATATCGTGCAGTCATCAGCGTACGAGGTCACTGAAATTCCCGCTGGTGGCTGGGGGAGTTACGAAATATAGAAATTAAACAGTAGTGGGGAGAGGACACCGCCTTGCGGAATCCCCTGTTTAATTTTCCTAAGTTTGGAGTTTTGACCTCGCAACAGTACGGATGAATGCCGACGGCTCAGGTAGTTCATAGTCCACCGCTTCAGCCCTGGAGGTAGCGTTTATTGTTCTAGGTCCTCAAGTAGCGTTGTGTGATTGACTGTGTCAAAAGCTTTTGACAAGTCCAACGCTACGAGGATCGTCCTTTCGCAAGGAGGCTTTGTTAGTCGAAGGGTGCACTGTAAACTTCCGGCTAAAATAGCTCGCGCACTTCTTCGGGTCAGAGGAGGCATGGCCATCGAATTGAACCCGATCATCATATCTCCTTGGATTTGAAAGGGCCTTGACAGTAGTCCAAAGCTTACTTACACCGGTAGAGAGGTTACAGGACTTCAGGTGCTCTATCCATTTTGTCCGCTTATGATGGTTTACCATTTGCCGAATCTCCAAATTGAGATCCCTTATTTGGGAATCACAGGGATCGGCATGGCGTAAGGTGCCGCGTTCGTTTGCTAATACAGCTGCTTCGGCTGGGAAATAAGGGCGGAGACGCTGGGAATATAGGCTGGGAAATAAGACGTAAGTATTTTGACAAAATAAATCGCTTAAATTTTTGAGTTTAATTTTAAAACGGCTTTATGAATAACTGGAAGACCCGGCGAACTCTGTTCTACCTTAGAGGAAACAAATAAGCAGATTTTCCTCCCCTGGTGCATCAAGTGAATTACTGTGATCTTTTAATATATTTCTTTTATTTGTTTTCGTTGCTTTTTTTCTTCAAATAAAATAAAAGCTAAAATAGCGGAACTCATTGTAAACTTCTCTGGACTTCATTCAGCACTTCAAATCTATAAAACGCTTCCTAATTTATTCATTTGCAAATTTTGTCACATTAGTAAACCGCTGATTGGAATATTGGTTTTGCATATATTCGAAAAGACGCAAATCCAATCAGATTCTGTGACACCATTCAAAATCAGAATTGGTTTGCCATTCTGACAACTACGCAAATCTGTCTTGGATTCCACAACACCCCTGATTATTTTTGTAATTAGTATTATAGTTTTTTGCAATATTACATGTTGGTTCTTCAATGTTTTGAAAATTTAACGGCCATTTTAATGCAGCATGAGCCGAATGGCATAATGTGGCTACTATTCAAGAATAAGCAACTGCAATCCCAATGTTGGATCTCGCACGAACAGTGGATAAAAGTAGACATGAAAAATTTTTTACCAGTTTCACCATCGCAAACTTCCTTTTGTTGGGGATTCAATGCTCGTTTAAATGTGTCATTCATTTCTCGATTTAGCCCTGGCATTCCTAACCTGACTAATAAACTACCGCACATGAGGTAACACATGTCTTCGATGAAATGATGATAGCAAACAATCTGCGTATCTGACTTGAAGATGCAGAGATAATGGCTTCAACGAGTGTCCCCCCAATAGGTATCGTTTTCTAGTAAATTAAGTTCTACACATGCAGCACCATACTTTGGGAATATTATACCATTAATAGTCCGTAGTGTTTCAAATGACGTTGGAGCATTCATCATTTTTTGGATGAACTGTATACATACTACGAAGAGCATCAGCATTCCAAATGTAATATTGTGGCATCTTCGAGCAAAGAAAAGTTCGTGAAAACGTATCGCTTTGGCAGTTCGCAAAGAAACTGGTCAATGTTGTCGCTGGAGGTGTTTCAGCACGTTGAACAACATTCGAAGCCGTGAAACACTTTCGTTAGCCATTATCCAGATACACCACCAAATGCACAACTGTAGGATGACGTTCGTGAGTATATGCTATATCGCTTTATTCCAGTTGACATAACGACCAACTTAATAGTGCGCAATTTGATCAAAGATATTAGACAAAAAAAAAAAAATGTATATATACATAGGTATATACATATAATATATATTTCACTATATACACTTGTGCTCACATAATTAAGTCACTGCATGGCAAAATAACGTTTCACGAAATAAAGTCTTATACGTAGCTTGCGAAAAACTTTAAATTGTTTTGAAAGAAAAATACAACTTTAAATGACGATAGGCAAATAGTACGGACGAGCCAGTTGGATCGTTTTTTGACGTCAGGTGAAATTAGAGCCCAAATGAAGCATAAACAAGGTGTACGTGTATCAGCATAGATAGTCCCCCATAGATTGCAGATAAACTCCTTAATGGACGAATTGTACGACGCACACCAAACATTTCAAAGAAGATCATCAAACGAATTCTAACGTTTGCCAGAAGCACCAGCAAAAGGACTCAAAATTCTGGTATCTAGTGGTTTAGAGTGATGAATCCAAGTTAAACATTTTTAGGTATGATGGTAGACTCTATGTCATATATATTAGGAAGATCATCAAACGAATTCTAAGAGCACCAGCAAAATTATTCAAAATTCTGGTATCTATGGACCACCATATACCAGAATTAAACCCACAATATACAAAATAAAACTGTGAAACAAGTGGATCATCAGTCAAGGTATGGGGGGCTCCCACCATTCGGGGTAGGGCCACTTATACATGTTGAAGCAAAAAAAAATGGTACAGAGACATTTAAACAGAACACTTAAATGGAAATTATGCCAATGTTTTACGACCATTTTCCAGTAGGATAACGACCCAAAGACTGGCTTACAAAAAACCACATCAAGTGGCCTAGCTTAAGCCCGGACTTAAACCGCATAGAGAATCTATGGGGAATATTAAAAGAACAATTGCAGCTAGAAACCCGTCGAATAGGGCTAGATTGGGGCAAATCTACAGGACGAATGCAGCAAAATTATCTAAGACCCATGTAACACACAGCTTAAAAAAATATGAACACATTAAATTTAAAGTCAATTCATTTAATTTTGTGAAACTTTTTTTTCGAATTATCAATAAAATTCAATTTTTATGAATTTGTAACGTTCATGTGACTTAATTGTGTGAGCACAAGTGTACATACGTTTTTTTTTGTTGTACATATGTATAATTAATAGTGCAGTTATAATTAATAAAAGCAAAACAAATGAAAACGGACGCGAACTAAAAAGCCATATATAATATATGTTTGTATATATGTAGATACATATTAATACATAAAACGGGCACGGAATTAAAACCACCAAAAACAACAACAAGCACTAGTAACCCACCGAAACATGCCAGGAAAGGATTTGGAAGCACCCACAG